CCTTAATGCAATGAATGGCTGCTCCCAGAGCTTGACCTCCATGAGCTCCAAGTGCCTTCCTGCTGTGGCAGAGGGATGACACCGAGCTGAACAGGGAGTCTCATCTATGAGAAGTGCTGAACACCACTATTCTTTGCTGATTATCCTGTAATTTATTTTTTTTTCCCCACTGAAATTGAGATTCCTTTAAGAGGCACTGGAAAAAGCTCTCTGCTCATAGAAGTGCTGTCATAAATATTTAAACATTTATGTAACCTTTGAATATCTTAGCAACATTTACATGAGTATAACAGAAATGGGTACATGGGTTTACAGACAAAAATGCAAGATTCTGAACCTGATGAATGCAAGGAGGACATCCCCTGGTACCACGTCTCCCCATTTCTGCTCAGTCCTAAAGCCATTCTGACCTCTGCCTAGAAAATGGACTGATGCCTCTCAGTTTTTCAGTCTCCATAAACCTGACAGGATTGCTGCATTAAAATCTTCTCTTTTTGTCCTTCTGAAGTGTCCTTCAGAGACTGGGCTGGTGTCTGCAGAGGTGCAAACCACTGGGAGAACAAACAAGCTTGGACCAGCCTCACAGAGGCAACCACTCATTTATTTTTGGGTTTTACAGCTGTCATTCTTTCCACTCCTGTGTACAGCAGGCACGAAGCAGGACAGACAGTGCTTTGAGTTCCCCATCTTTTGAAAGGCAGCCTTAGCTTGTATTTGACATGAAATTTGTCTTTCTAAAACCGCCTGACTCCACCAGCAATTGAAGGAAGATTTCTCAGGAATCTGGAGTGGAATTTAAGCTGGCAAACCCAATACTCTGCAGAGGTGCCAGCAGCCCCTCCCTGGCTGTGCTGTCCTTGTCACATCCTTTGTGTGACCTCCAGCAGCTCCTGCTCCCTTCCTGCAGTCCTGCAGTACAGAGGTCACGGTGGGATCAAAAGTTTAATCTGAGATGAGGAGGTGTTGGGAGACCCAGAGGCTCTGCACTGGGCTGGTAACAGCTCCAGGAATATCCTTTAAATTCACTGCAGCCCACCTGCAGATTGCCAGGGGCAGTTCCCTCCCCAGATCCCTGAGTGCCACAGGTGGCCATCAGGACTGCCTCTCCCTTGATTTCCAGGAAGCAGTTTTCTCTGTCAGCTCAATAAAATGTGATTTGTTGCAGAGAGAATCTATCCAAGTCATCTGGAAAGGTAATGGCCTTTGTTACAAGAGGGCACAAAAATATAATGCCAGGAAGAAGACAAAGAAGAAGTCTCTAGGGAACTGTGCTTAGCCCTGTCTTTGCTGTCTGCTTCTTTATTTTACTTTTATTCTGGAGAAAGAAGTTAGGAGAATAGAAAAAAGGGGAAAGTAGCTGAATGCAGCTTAATAATGAAAGAAACTGCTGAAATAGCATCAGAGAGCTCTTTAAAATGCAAAACTTCTTGCTGATCTGCTAAGCAGGAAAGAAAAAACCCAATCACTTAAAGGTGGTGGCTGAGCAGGCTTTCCCTTCATCATTGCTCTCTTCTTCTGATGCCAGAGATAAAAAGCACTTTCAGAGGGAGGATGTTTTCATAGTAAAAGCATAAATACTACAGGAGATGAGAGACACATCATTGCTCACCGTCTCCAGCTTCTGTTAGAGACTTTCTTGACCTGGAGTGGGCAGGAGCCACAGCTGAGATTGTCCCTGCACTGCTCCCTGGCCTTCCAGAAACGTTGACAAAAGCCTGGAGGAAAACAGAATAGTATTTCTATCTGTCAAAAACTCTTCAACAAATATACCTTTTCAATTAAAAAAAAATATTTTGAGTTCTAATGTGACCCATTTTCTTAAAAATCTGTTTTCTATCCTTCCTCCTTGGTTCCATGTGACATTGGTCACCCCTACCAGCCCTGTGTTTCTGTCCTGTTTTACCCACAGGAGAACAGATCAAAGCAGGGTAGCCAAGCTGCACTGAAGAGCTCCAGGACCAAGCTGGGATGCTATTTCCACCTTAGTTAGCCTCAGCTGGGGGCTGGTGAGGCACCACACAACCTGTTCCCTTTTTTTGTGAGGGCCATGTGCCCAGCAAATCAGACCCACCTGGGGCTTGCTGGAGCTGTAAATTGGAGCAGTCCATCTGCATCTGTCCTCTGAGGCTGAGAAACCTTGTTTATTGATTTTTTAAGTGTCACTGTGTGAGGGAAGGGCGAGGAAGGGAAATGCCCCTGCTCTCATTTTGGTTCTGCTGTGGCTGAGCTCATCTGAGGAGCAGATTTGGTGAGGCTGTACCTGCACGCTGTGTGGGACAGTGTCAGGAACCCACAGAGAGCACAACCACCCGTGATCAGGTGCAGACACTTCCCCCTGTGTAGCACGGGCTGGGAAGTGCTGCCTTTCTCTGTCAAGAGTGATGGATGATCTTCCAGGATGGATGCCTCAAAGGGTTAAAATGCACACAGAATTACAGGAATGCAGTACAGCCTGAGATTTGTTCCTCTCCTCTGTGCTACCTCTTCATCAGGAGTACAGAGCAGAGGAGAAGCAGTGCAGGGACGTCAGCAATGCTTGTTCTTGGGGAAGAGGATCATGTCTCTCACCATGCAGCTCCTAAAGACCTGCCAGTGTTGCTGATGCATGTCCAGTAATAAATACCAACCTGGAGCACTTGGAGAGGCTTTGTGCTGGCTGCTCAGCCACCTCTCAGGAGCTTACCGACTTGTTCAGCCATTTGTTTGTGCCACAGCCACGAAGGCTTGGAGCAGCTTTCCAAATACAGATGGAGGCTGGATCCCAGCCCAAAGCCATTCTGGATTTGCAGTTTTGCTACTGTCGTTATTCTTTTTCTTTCCCCAGCAGTTAGATTTGTTCAGTTACTGACAACATTGAGTTTAGACAATATAAAATCATACATCTGGAGCAGACCTGACCAGTCTGAAGCCGAGTATGTTGTCAGAAACCTTTTATCAGCACGTGCTAGCCGTTTGTACAATGCATAAATGTGAGAAGATTAAATAAGCAACTTGCAGAGCTAAACCAGAAACTTCACTTTGTCTCTGGGTTGCTCTCCATAGAAATGAGTGGGCTGGAGCCAGCTTCAGGACAGCAATGGCTGTTGCTCCAAGCAGAGTTCAGCTAGATTTTGCTGACAAGCCTCCCAGGCACTTCTGCTCAAAGGAAGGTAAGGCTGAAGAACCAAGAGCTTTATGTGAAGCTGCTTTGTGGAATGTTCCAGACCTTGGATGGACACCAGCAGCCCAGATACAGGGGCTGAGTGTCCAGGGCTCAGGGCTGGGGCTCCTGCCATGCAGCCCTTGCTGGCCTGAGCTGGAGCTCTTTAATGAGAAGCATTTCAGGGCTCCTCTCCCAGGGTGAGGCTGATGCAGAGACACCACAGAAAGAACAAGCAGCCCACCTGAGGGGTGTGTTCTGAATAACTGCTGGCGTTATATAAGATATCAAACACAGTGTTGGGTTCCTCGTCACCTGTGCTGTACGGTGCTTTCAGGTGAGATCAGACAGCCATTCTGAAACAGCCTGCTGTGAACAAAACCTGCTTCTGTATTGCCATTCCAGTTAATAGATGGGAAAATAGGCCATGGCATTCATAGTGCTAAAATGAAGGTGTTTCTGCCCCCTTCAGGCTTCCAAGCCGGCCTCAGGAGGGCTGAGGGAGAAGCCTGAGGAGAGGGATGGGTCAGGTATTGTAGCACATGGTAGGGCTTCAGTCAGCAGAGCTGTTAGAGCATTGGGATGCTATACCAATAACCCCCTGAGGCAGCCAGGAAGAGAAATGTTTGTATTGTGTTCTCAGAAGCTTCTTCTTGCAATCTCACCATCAAATATTTTACCAGAATATGAGTCTAAAGCTGAGAGAGGATACAAAGGGGCTGTGTGGGACTGGGAGCAGCTCAGCCCCTGCATCTGTGCCCACAGAGCACATCCATCTGCTGCCTTAGTCTGGGGGCACCAGCACTGCCAGCTGATGATCCTCATCTGAACAAAACAGTGCTGGGAACGGGTAACAGGGAGCAGATGATAATATAAATACACCTTCAGGTGGGGAGATGCAGTTCCACCATTACCAGTGCTCGTTAGGGGTGATGAAATAGAATTCTGACAGGATGGGAGCAAGAGCAGGAGTTGGGATCTGCTGGTCTTGCTCTTAATTTCTGCAGACATACCAACTCATTTAGTAATGTAACAGCTCCCACTGCTCACCACTTAATGTATGATTAATGTGCCACAGGATTTCCCCAGACATTTATGACACCTTTAGGAATAGAAATGACAATGACTTTATCACATGGAGTCACTTCATACTATCTGCATCTCTCTTAATGATTTATATATCCAGGAGTGATTTTATCACTAGTACTCAGTAACATAATAAATGAGAAAACTCAATGGTCTGTAAATTACAACACTGATTAAAGAAGTGATTACTGATATAACTCTTACACAGCTATGATAATGCTTGCTTATATTTCAGGACAGCATTTACATATTAATGATAAATCTACTGTAGTGTTTAGAAATACTTTACAGCTTTAATCAAAATGTAAACATTTACAAACAGATAATGTTTATTGCAGAGGAAATGAGTCGACTTCTGTTACTCTTCAGTGGGTGAAATCTACTGCAGAGCCAGTCTTGAAAGCAGCATCACCCCTGGTGGAGGTCATCAGGGCAGAGCTGTGACTAGCTGCTTGCCCCATGGAGAGCAGTTTGGGTTTGCTGGGTTCCTCTTGAGCAAGCCTTTGCTCACTGAGAGTTCCCCAGCTCTGCCATCACATTAGTTTGGAGCTGGCTGCAGAAAATCAGGGGCAGGCTTCACAAACAGTGTCCAGTCCTTGGCACCTCCAGCACAGCCCAGCCTCCGAGCCAGGGCAGGGCTCTGTGCTCAGCTGCTCCCACCGTGCCAGCCCTTCATAAATGGGCATCCACCAGGGGAGCCTTTTCTCTTGGTTTTGGGGCTACACTTGGGGTTGGTTTTGCCACAGCCATCACCCTTTCTCCTTCCCCCTCCCAGGTTTCTGACAGGTGTGACTACGTTTTTGTCAACGGCAAGGAGATGAAGGGCAAGGTGAACGCCCTGGTGAACTTCACCTACCAGTACCTGAGCGCCCCGCTGCAGATGACGGTGTGGGTGCCCCGCCTGCCCCTGCAGATCGACATTTCCGACACTGAGCTCAGCCAGATCAAGGGCTGGCGCGTCCCCGTGGTCTCCAGCAAAAGGTGGGCTTGAGGCACAGCCCTTCCCGGGTGATTTGTGACAGGAATGCTCCCGAAATGCAGCGCCTTCCCCTGAGGAGCAGCACTGCTGGAACCCCCAGCCGTGCACTGGGATCTGCAGATACACAAAGCTGTAAAAGCTGTGGGGTTGTGCTTCTGTGCACGTGTCTGTTTTGGGCAACAAAATGCAGTGTGGGACTCTGGCAAGGCCCGCTGGCAGAGGTGTTGTCTGGAGATGGCAGCACAGGTGAAAAGGTGGCACAGCCCAGTCCTCCATCACGTGAGGTGGACCAGAAATCCAGTAATCAGTAGTCCAGAAACCCAGAAGGGAGGGCTCTGTTGAAGGGGCACTCCAGTGTTAATTTTCACGGATGTTCTGAGAACATTTCTCTGTGTGTTCTCCCTGCCTCCAGGCCCACCAGGGACAGCGATGACGAGGAGGAGGAGGAGCGCAGGGGCAGGGGCTGCAGCCTGCAGTACCAGCACGCCACGGTCAGGGTGCTGACGCAGTTCGTGGCCGAGGACTCGGGCCCCTGGGGACAGCTGAGCTTCCTGCTGGGCTCGGACTGGCACTTCGACATCACCGAGCTGGTCAGGGACTTCATGAAGCTGGAGGATCCCCACATTGCCAGGCTGCAGGAGGGCAGGATCCTGGTCGGCCGGGAAGTGGGAATGACCACCATGCAGGTACAGCTCTGGGAGGGGTCTGGGCACGGGCTGGGGGGCCCCACGCTGCCGTGCCCATGGATTGTACCTCTGGGGGGGTTACACAGGTGAGCCCTTACCAAAGCCAGTGTGTCGCTGTCAAGGCACGACAAGAGACTCTGACTCAGAAGTTGTTGAGAGGAAAACTCTGATTTATTCAAAATACCCTGCTCTTTTATACAGAGCTTTGTGAGGACCAACTCCATTGCTCCTGAAGTGAAACCAACCCACAGCATTGGTGCAGAGTGCTTGACACACAGTGATAGAACTTAACTATAAACAATGTGAGCAACAAGAGAGATAAAGAATTATTTACATTCTTTTCCAACTCTTTCCAAGGCTTCTGCCTGGCTAGAAACTCTCCGTTTCTCTCTTTGACTGAATCTGAGATCCACACCAGTGCATAAAGGGTAGCTAGAGCTGTCTGTGTGGATATGAGGAAGGTGGAGAAGACAGCATGTGCATGAGCTGGCTAGCTGTAGTTCCCCAAAGAGAGCAGCATGGCCCTTCGTTTCAGCAAAGGGGAGGATATTCTGCTGTCTTGATGTTCCATCAGAAACAGAAAATGCTGGAGGAACAAGAACTTCCAAGCCATGAAATGAAGGACAAATCCTAGGCTGGTAACCTCCCTTTGAAGTAGTTGGGAGGTTTAATGAGCTCGTCCACATGGGAGGACAGAGTAACAGGAGAAAACTTTAAATCCACTCTCGTGGTGAAATAATGCAAATAACACAACTGGGACAGGACAGCTCCCAGTCTTGGATGCTTCTCAGCCATAACCTCTCCACTCAGGATTTCTGACCCTGCTAATGAAATCAGACTCCCTTTCCTGTGCTCTTAATTTCTGTGCATAAAGCTTTGGAGACGAGAAGGGATGATGACCTTAAGAAAGGTTCTATCAATTGATCAGCCTTTTCCTAAACTGATTCTTCTGTGTTTTTCCAAAGGTTTTGTCTCCTCTGTCTGACTCCATCCTGGCAGAGAAGACGGTGACTGTGCTGGATGACAAAGTGACCATCACAGACCTGGGAGTGCAGCTGGTGTCTGGGCTTTCTCTCTTCCTGCAGCCCAGTGCAGCCACCAGCAGGGCCATTGTGGCCACAGCCGTTGCCCAGGAGCTGCTTCATACTCCTAAGCAGGTGATGTGCACTCTGAATTTCCTGGCTTTGCCTTCTGGCATGGGGCAGGACTTTATCAGTGTGAAATACAGATGGTAATTCATGCCAGTTTAGAATTGAGACTTTAGGTGTAGTCTGTGTTAATTGCTTTTCCCTACAGATACTCTAGAATTGCCTTGTCTGTTCTTCCTTTCCAACGGGGGTTTCAATCTGCAGTAAAAGTTCTAACTACCCTGAAGTTTGTGCTGTTTACAGGTTTAATACTCTTTCTTTAGCTAATGAGCCTGTGTTGTTTCCATTGCACAGGCAGTCTTTGGACAGTGATCCTGGTTTGCTGTATGAGCACAGCCTTCTTTTCTGTTCTGGAGAGCACAGAGCTGTCACCATTTAATATCTTCAAGAGCTGTAAAATAGAGGCAGAAGATGGCCACATCCATTTCTTTTCCCTCCTGGAGCCATGACACACTGCCAGGCTCATCTCTCCTTTTATTTTGCATGTGAATTTTGGGGGTTTCATCATCCACTTCATGTGCTGATCTTAATTTAAGCCAGCAAATTCTCATCTCTCTAAGGGGGTTATTTCAAACAGCTTGTTTCAGGTCACAACCTCTGTGGAAAAGAAAATTGGAGAGCACCACCAGATCAAGGCAAGCAGTCACTCTGGCCCAGAATAAACCCAAGGGTCACTGGAGTGTGCTTCCTTGGTCAGTTGACTTGAGGATTGGGACTGGGAACCATGTAATTAAATCTGTCCACAGCTACTCCTCTTGCAGAAAGCATTTTTCTTCTCACATGGATAGGGAGAGATCTCAAGTCAAGTTTTATGGCCCATTTTCATGATTATTGCTACCTAATTTTCTGGGACATAAAAATAATCTAGTTTGTTTTATAACTTAGTGACAGGAAAATGTCCAAGCTAGAAGGACACGGTGCCCATCTGTTCCATTTGTTGCATCCTGTAAACATAAGAATCTTATGTAATTAACCCATTTATACCCTTCTTCAGGGCTTAGAAACCACATCTGGCATACTGTCTTCAGACAAAGACTGTGGAAACAAAAACTGCAGCACTCCTCGCCCAGTCCTGCCCTGTGGGACAGAGCAGCATCAGTCCTGCAGCAGCACTGGGAGAATTGTGGATTTGATTGCAGATAAAAGAGCCTGTGAATCTGGAGAGGGTGCCCAGTCCCTCTGTCAGCTTCTCAGATTTATGGATGATCTGTCCTGAGTATGCAAAGGCATTTATCAGCATCAGGTTGTGGCAGATTGTGCCAGGGGTGCCCATCGTGACACCTCCTGTTGTTTATGCTCTGGCAATATGATGTGACATGTCACGACATGGCACTGCAAGGAATACAAAAGAGGGAAAACGTGTAAACGTGGTTTGGGTTGAAATTATTTTTCCCAGCATGTGAGTTCTGAGATGATTTTAGTGGAGTGTTTGGTTTAAGCTGCTCTTCCTCTGCAGGACCATTTCAGGTTGCTGAGAGTGGCACAATTCTGACACACAGGTCAGGCCCTGGTTCTGAGCAGTGCATCTCCATCACCAAACCTCAGCCAGGAACAGATTTCACACTGGGGGATAAACGGAAGGAAATGGCGTAGGAGGGACCTGTAGAGTCACAGACATTATTCCTTTCATTTGTAGTTTGAATGAAGGATATAACATTTAAGTCACTCTCCCTTAGGAAAATTAATGCAAATGTGAGAATGTTTGTGGCTAAATTTTGCAAGAAGTGACTCATGATTTGGAGTGCATCAGCTGAGATCCTGACTGAGCTGGCGTTTTGAGGCAAATGCTGAGTGTTTTCTGAAAATCAAGCCCTTTTGAAAGAGGGTTTTTTCCAAGGAGACAGCCCAGGACTGAGCCTGTACTTGAACATTGTGAGGGCTTCATTATTTAAGTGTGCCTTTTCCTTTGAAGCAAGTTTATAAAAGGCCCAAATAACTCATGCAAACCTTACTGATGCAACTGAAAAACAAAATGCAGAATTTTTGGTGTGGTTTTCTTTCAGTGACCAGAACGACTGGATTGTCTTAATTTTAATGAGCACACCTTGTCTGCATACACAGCACACAGTAGCCAAAACAAAGTGCTGAAAAGTTGGCAGTTTCTCCATAAATACAAAGCACTCTAAAGAAGATAAGCCAATATTTTATCACCTTGGATGCCTTAAGTTAGATACCTTTATCTATAGCTGGGCAACTAATTACCTGCTGTGCCAAGGTGACCTTGAGGGATGCTGAGCCCATATATTATTTTTTAATCAATAGGGAGCTCATTGGCACTGGAAAGTGGATCAGTGATTTAAGTGCCTAAAAATAGACACAGGTTGACCAACTTTTAGATATCAAAGATGAAGTGTCTTGTGAAAATTTGGAAACTCTATCTGTGAGTAATCTATTTTTGGTGGCCATCTGCTCAGGTAGGAAAGCTGTTCCATTTGGCTTGCTGACGGTTGTTAAATCAACACTGTCATCTTAAAGGCTTCTCCAAAATGTAAACAGAAGAAAACCTGCAGTGCTTAAATGTTTTCTGATCTAAGTGAGCTTCAAGGACTCTCAAAGCTCAGCTGGCTGTGCAGGGGAACTCACAGTCATACCCAGCCTTTTTGTCACTGTAGAGTATTGCATGGGGGCTAATGAACTGAAATGGGTCAGTGAAGAAAGAAGAAAAAAGCCTTTAATGTACAGCTCTGTGCATTAATGCATCTCTCAGTGCTCCTGGGGAGCTGCAGACACTTTCTCAGGGGAAAGGAGCAATGTTGGTGCTTTCTCAAAGCCAGGTTCTGGAGTTGCCCAGCTGCTCCAGCCCTGCTCTCCCTCTCTGGGAGGGGAGGGTGCCCAGCACCCTTGGTCATTGCCCTGGGGTCACTCCCTGGGCTGCCTTGTGCATGGAGGAACCTTGGAGGAACCCGTCAGGTTCAGCTCCTGGCCTTCCTGCAAGTGCTGAGAATTCACTGGCACCTCTCAGTTAACAACAGATACCAGCAGTATTTTTATGGTGTGGATTTATTACCCATCCTGGCAGTCTAAGTTACACCCAAATTGTATTTATGCCTTCTCTAAGCTGACAGAGCCATGGAGGGGCTCGCAGGAATGACAAAGGAATTCAGCAGCATGGGAAAGGGAGAAGGGATGCATTGTTGGATAAGAATCTCAATTCTTCCCTTGCAAAGACAAGCAAATTCCCACTGGAAAGGAATGTCACATTAGCAGATTGGACAAAAAGGAGAGAGAGAAATACACAGTGGGGGAATGGATGGTTTGAGTTAAGATCTGAGTCTTGGCTGCCTTTCATTTCCACATCATAATGATCAAGCCAAATTTTTACTACACAAGCCACAGGCTTAAAAATAAATGCACATGTAATACTTTGATATTTCACGTGATAAAATTGCTAGGGAAATCCATGCCAGCATTCAAGTCCCCAGACAGAACAATGAGAGCTGGTCTAGGAGAAGCTGCTGAGAACAGTATTCCTTTGCCTTTATTTGAGGGAGAGGTGTATTTGTTTTCTGCAGAGCCAGCCATTTCTTTCCTCTGATGTCCTGCCTCACTCCAGGACCCTTGCAGCTGACCCCAGCAATTGAGGGCTTTTTCACAAATACTTTCATTTGTTCTATAGTGAATGAAGACCATTAAAAGGCCATTTTATTCTGAGCATGGAATAAAATCAAATATCCTGATCTGTGTTTCTAAGCAGCAAAATTCTCTAAAATGCAACCAGTTTATCCAAGAAGATTTATCAAGTGGTATCTTTGGGCTGATAAGTCACGCTGTAATTCAAGGCCAGGAAAGGTGGTGGAACTGCCAAGAGAACAGCAAAGGCACAAAGGAAAGTTTAGACAAAATATGTTTTGGTAAAGTTTTTGATGTGCTTAAGGAAAGCCTGATGCTAATCAGGAGAGGTGGTGGGAAGCAGTTTCTACATCTCTGGGCTGGATTTTGCTGTCATTAGCACGACCTAATGAGCATTCTCTGACTCATTTCACATCCAGTCAGGCTGCAGATCCTCGGCTCTGCGGGAGCACTGGCACTGCTGTGTCCCTGGAGTGCAGCACCTCCGGGTGTGTGTCAGGGCAAGAGGCAGGAGAAGTGGGGGACAGAAAGGCTGGAAAGCAAGATAATCCCTCCAACTCTTTGTTTATGCTTGATAATTAAAGAGCACAAGCATTTGTCACCTCAGTGGTGAGGGCATGAGGCGAGGGGCAGCAGCTTGGCAGGTGGGAAGGCTCCAATCCATCTTCATCTTCGGAGAGTAACTGGAGGGCCTTGTCAGAGATTTGGAGGGGATTTATTGATGTGGTACACAGGATTTGCAGAAACGGCTCCTTGAAGGACATGGCACTAAATCATTTCTTTTTTCTCTCTTCTTTTCTTTTTTAGCTTTTCAGAATTTATAATCATTTGGGAAATTCACTTCCTTGCCCTGCCTTTGGCTTTCCTTTAATGATGGGAATGAGAAGAAATGATCTCTTGCCAGATAGGATATTTGGGCTGATACTATGCATTTTGGCAGGATTTTAAACTCTCTCCCTCTTTCTCTCATTTGTTTTCTTTCCCTTTTAATTAATGTTGTCCATAGTATGGGCATGACAATGTTGTTTTGTCTAAAAAATTAGTTCCTCCTATGAAGAAATGTTCTCTTGGAAATAAAAAATGTCAATGCTGGTAGAAAATAATGGCTAAGCCAGTGCACACCTCTGTTACCTACAGTAAATCACATGTGCGCCTGCAAATTTCAGCTGACTGCCATCTCATTTTTCTTTGTCTCTGCTTCATAAAACCAGAAATGCAGAATTGTAGAGCAGTGGCATAAAGAATAAAAGTTGTTTTGAAGTTGGAGGCAACTTTGGCCAAACACACAGAGGATTTAGTGACGTGGATCCTGTGGCAGAGGTGTTGGAGCTGTGCAGGTTCCCAGCTGGGGAGGAGGCACAGGTGCCTGCCATCATTTCCAAAATCCTGCACGATTTTCTCCCCCTGCTCTCCAAAGGAGGGCATCACTGGCAGGCAGTGCTGGAAGTGTTTTCCCTGGAATAGGCTGGTGAAAAGTCACTGTGTCTTCCCCAGTGGCACATGAGGCTGACCTTTGTTTTAGGGAGAAGGAAGACAACAGGATGCTGAATTGCCTGAGGAGGTGAATCTTTTTCTCTCTGCATGTATCCATTAAAAAAAACCCTTTGCTTTCCTATCACCGGGGTTGCTCCACTGTAGATTTCTTTGGTAGAAACTCGAGCTGTGCCCTGCAGTTTTGTGTTTGTTCAGTCATTTCGGGGTTTTTTCTCTAATGAAAGATCAGATGTTTTAATTTCCTTATGCAGTGCACCCTTCCCAGTTTCTGAGTTACCCTGGCTCTGTTTCAGCTCTTTGAAGTAAATTTGAATCACCAAGAACTTTGCCTTCTTTCCTGTTGTGCCACAACTTATTTTTCTTCTTTCAGTCCCTCAAGTACTTGCTGATAGTGCTTTGGAAATCAAATATTCAGTATGGCCCAACCTTCTGCCCAGCTAAATGCCCCTTGCTGTTTTCATTGAAAAGCTTTAAATTCAACTGGAAGGGCAGCAATTCTCTTTGTTTCTAACCATAGCATCACAAATTGCAGCCAATTGGAAACCGTATTAAGTTGTAAATTTGTATTATGACTGGACATGAACAGGGTGGCAATGTTTTTCCCCAGTGCTGGTTTTTCAGCCCAGTTGTTTGGAGGTACCCAAGTGTGAAGTTATTAGAGCCATTTGTGGTTGAAGTGTGGGAAGGAAAGAACTTCCCTTTTGTGGGAAGTTGCACTCTGGCAATCTGCCTGGCCGTCTGCTGGCTATGCAGGCAAGACATAAAACAAATTAAAAATTAAAGAAATGTCCTGCAAAGAAAGCTATTGAGATGTGGAGAAGTAAATATCTGTGTCATCTGGATGGGATTTCACATGGCAAAGAGCTGACCTCTGGCTTTGTGTTTGCTTCTAATGATGACTTCTGACAGTGCTACCTGCAGAGCACAAAGACAGACCAATTAAATCCAGGCCATTTGTATTTTTATTGTAGAGATCATGCCAGAATCCCCATCCTCCTCTTCTTGACACAGAAATTTGGTGGATTTTTTTATTATCTCAAGGATAAAGTATGTTTTACTCAAAACAAACCTTTGTCCAGCAAAATGGCAATTGTTCTGTGAGTTTTTCTTTCAGATGTATCTTCTGCTCCAGCCATTTCCAAGATACTGTGGTAGCTCCTTCCTCCTGCTAAGATACTTATGCCTTAATTTGACAGCTCCTCATGACACCTGTGCATGTGGAACATGAGGGATATAAGTGTTCTGTCAAGTGCCTCTAGTAATTTTTGTGATTTGCCTCTTTTGGCTTTTGTACGAGAGGAATGACTTTCCTTACAGGGCTTGTAAAATTGGAGCTTGCTAATGGGTACTTTGGTAATAAAGACATCTCATATCAATTATTTTTGTGCAAAACATTTTCAGGGAGAGTAGCAGTGGAACCTTGAGTGACAAATGTGACCATTTTCTGCCCCATCAGTCGAAGCTAGCTTTGAATGCAGAGTGGCTGTGTCCCGTTTCCTCCAGCTGAGGGGTGGATGAGCTGCAGCGGGTTGGGCTGACCCACGAGGGCCCCGTCTTTAACCATCTCGCTGTGCTTTCAGGAAGCCGTGGTCAGCACCTGGATCCAGTTCAGTGACAGCTCCGTTACCCCGCTGGACATCTACGACCCCAAGGACTTCTCGCTGTCGGCCGTGTCGCTGGACGAAGCCGTGGTGTCCGTGCACCAGAGCCCTGCCCTGAGGTGGCCGGTGGTGGCCGCGGAGGGCGAGGGCCAGGGAGCGCTGGTCAAGGTGGACATGATGATCTCGGAGGCCTGCCAGAAGTCCAAGAGGAAGAGCGTGCTGGCCGTGGGGAGCGGCAGCATCAGGGTGAAGTTCGGGCAGAACGACGCGGACGCGGAGGCGGGCGGCGACTACGATGCGGGCGAGATTGAGAACCGCGCCAGCGACCGGCGCCACAAGGGCCCGGAGCCGGAGCGCCACGGGCAGGACGGGCGCTACCACGGCGGCTCCTCGGCAGAGAGGGACGAGGGGCTCCTCAGGAAGGCTGGCACCACGGCCAAGTCCATCCTCAAGAATAAAGTCATCAAAAACAACCGCCTGGACGGCGGCAAGCTCTCGGACGACAGCCAGCTGCAGAACATCCCCATCGACTTCACCAACTTCCCCGCCCAGGTGGACCTGCCCAAGGGAGGTGCTGGCATGGAGGACAGCGACCTGGTGCAGACACCCCGGGGCCTCAGCGACCTGGAGATCGGCATGTATGCCCTGCTGGGCGTCTTCTGCCTGGCCATCCTCGTCTTCCTCATCAACTGCGCAACATTTGCGCTCAAGTACCGCCACAAGCAGGTCCTGGTGGAAGGACAGACCACCGTGACCCACTCCCACGACTGGGTGTGGCTGGGCAACGAGGCAGAACTGCTGGAGAACGCGGCAGACGCGTCGCCTCAGCAGGACGAGCACACCACCATCATCGACCGGGGCTCGGCCGGCGAGGAGAGCAGCCAGCTGCTGAACGGCAGCGCCCAGAAGAACACTCAGAGCCAGGTGCACAGGGCTGCAGACCCGGGGGGGAGGCTGGCCAAGGAGCACAAGGTGGAGCCCTTGCACTCGCCCACGTCCAAGAGGAAGCGGGTGAAGTTCACCACGTTCACCACCATCCCGCCCGACGATGGCTGCCCCACCGTCAACTCCATCCTCAGCAGCCACGACGATGACATTAAGTGGGTGTGCCAGGACATGGAGCTGGGGGACTCCAAAGAGACACGGAACTACGTGGGGAAGTTCAAGGACAAAGCGTAGCTCCCTGCTGGGGTTCTTTTTTTGGGTTTAACCACACCTTGATGCCTTCAGTTCTACAGTATATATTGGGACGGGCGAGGGGGAGGGGAAGGGATCGCCAGGAGAAGTGATGAGGCAGTTTTATAATCAGGGAAAGGAATTTGCCAAACTGTCCGTGGTTTGTTTTTGTTTTTCACTTCGTTTTGTTGGGGGTTTGTTGTTTGTTTTGTTTTGTTTGTTTTTTTTCCCAGTGGTTATTCTGCTATTCATGGATTTAGGAAGTGGAACACAAATAGCAGAAAGGAACAAGGAAATGGTATGACCAATATGATGAACTGGGCGAGATGAGGTTGTGAAAATTCATTTTATGGGTCATACAAATAATAAATGATAGTAATATTTCACAGTACCAAAAATATCTGTAAAATGAAATGAGAGAATATAAGAGCATGAAAAGAGTAAGCAAGAGGTAAACAATAACTTGTTCTGGTTCCAATAAAACATCACAGTAATGGACATATGACCCACAAGGACACTTTTTACATTGGTACTCAAGCCATTTCTTTTCATTCCTTCATTTAAAATGAAGATGTGTCTTTGGCATTATGTGTGAAGGAGGAAGAAATTACCTGGTATTTTCATTTTTACTTTTCCATTTGTCTTGTAAATTGAAACAGAATCATTTTCCCATTTGTAGTTTTCTTTTAAGTATCTTGAAAACAGGAAAATATAAAATTCAGTAAGTTCACAGTGGGACAAGAACATTCTAAGTTAGCTGTAAAGAGTCTCCTGTCATTTAAAGAATTCAGGGGATAAGTATTGACTAATAATTTCCATGTGATGTCTCTTCTGAAAGCCTGAGCCTCCATTTCACCCTAGCTAGAAAGATGTTTTGTTTGGAAGAATTTTCATTTTCCTTTCAGGTTGGGGTTGTTTGTTTAGTTGCTCATTTTAAATTTCCACAACCAAAGCTCCTGTGTTTCACCAAGGGAAGAAGGTGCTGTTTTCTGTTAGCTTTTACAAGTACCAAGCAGTGGGATGCCCCACTGGTGCATTGTAAATGTTCCTGGAACTGAGACCATCACAGGCCAAATATGCACAGCCTGCAGTTGAGTTGTTTGAGGGTTTTTTTATTTGCGAGGTTCATGAATCCATAATTTTGTGCTGCAATTTTCTGTTTATTCTGCTGTCACCAGCTCTCATCAAGCCCTGAAAGCAAGAAGAGGAATGGACAGAAAGACCCTGGTTGCCCCAGACGTTTATTCCCTTGTACTGGGAGAGCTGGGCACGCTGTTGGGAGGGAGGGAAATATTGCTGAAGCAAGAACAAGAAATATCTGGAGCTGTTTTACAGATTTTTTATTTTTTCTTTTTTTGCCATTGGACCAGCTAAGACTGAAAAGTTTAGACTAGACTGCAAATCTGATGTTTTGAACAAACAAATACCAAGGCAGTAATAAATCGGAAGCAGATACAAACCAGAGATTTAATTAATTGGTGGTGTGAACTGGCAGAACTGTGTTGGCTCAGTGCCAGTTCATGTTCACGGAGGACACAGAGCAAAATCTGTTCAGTGAGGAAGCCACTGTCCTCCCAAAGCCCTCCTCACAAAAAGGAGCTGCTAGATCCAGCCTTTGGAAAGCAGTGGTACATCCTGACTGTTAGCCAGAAGCACTTGCATCATCCTGTCCTTGCCACGGATTTCGTTGTTTCGGGTTTTTTAATTACTAAACTCCATAGTTTGTTGTTTTTTGTTTTTTTTTTTTTTTAACTTGGACGAAGTCAATCCTGCCACCCAATAACATAGATGGATGTTTTAACAAGATATGCCTAGTATGCATTGTAGACTGAAAGAATGTAATATTTATTTATACATGTTATATGAATTGTAATTAAAATGCTTTACACGGCTTGACAAATTAACCTTCCTGTCCTCAGGGGGGTGCTCCTCTGTCATTTCTGTGGAGGGCTGCATCCCCTGCCCTGGAACACGATTTCAGCCACTTCTGGAGGGAGAACAGGGATGTGTGGAGGCTTTTCCCTGCTCTGACCCTTCCTTGGAGCAGCGCTTCCCTCCCCGTGATGCTGATGGATGGCAGGAGCAGCTCGGCCAGGCACAGGTCAGGGCAGTGCCACAATCCTTCTTCTTCATCCCCTGCCTCCACCAGCACCAGCAGCTCCAGGACTCTGCTCCTGGCGTGGGCAACCCCTGCAATTCATTAATTAATTCTTTCATTCCGTGGCTCTTCCTGGGAAAACGCAGGCGCCCCTGAGGTGGAGAAGGCATTTACAGTGTGGAGCTGCAACAGAGAACAGCAGAGGAGGGAGAAGCAGAGCATTGGAGCAGAAATAAGGTGTGGTAGCACAGAAGGGACCAGTTCCAAGGGTGTTTTTGAGGAGGGGTGGCACCTCCAGCAGCCCAGTGCTGGACAGGAGCAAGGTGGCCAAACCCTGGGTCTGTGCACAGGAGCACAGGCTGGATGTGAAAAGACAACAGAGGGAAGTAAAAAAGAAAAAGGGAAAAAAACCAAGCCCTGCCTTCACATTTAATTTCTCTGAAGCTACAGAACATGGGGCTTCAGAGGCCAATACTGAGACTTTTCAATTTGTCTTGCACTGACCAAAATTTCTGTCACAGCCCTGTTCCGAGCGAGCCACCCTAAAGGATCATCTCGGCAGGGAGGAAACCAGTGGGCTGTGAAATATCATTTATTTGAGGAATTCACGTCGGGTCAGATGGCAGGACTTACATCTCTGGGGCTCTGCAGTGCCAGGGCACTGGGATGGGGCACGGGGAGCTGCTGGAGCATCCCTGCTCCCAGCACAGCTCCCTTGGCAGCAGAGGGAACCTGCCCGTGCCAGGGCTGCGTGCTGCAAAGATAACATGCTGCAAGGTACATCTCCCCGTCAAGGAGCCGGGGGAGAAATTCATTAATAATCCTTTGCACTTAGAGGAGAGCCTTTCATCTGAGCTCAGTGGCCTGCAGTTGTAAAGGTGTAGGTGTGAGCAGCTGAGTGTCCCGGTGCTGGCTGGGCTGCCTGCTGCTGGCACGGTGAGTGAAAACACCTGGGCAGGGCCCAGGTGGGGGCAGGAGAAGGGCAGGAGTGGTGGAGGCTGTGATGGGGTGATAAGAGGCAGCTGTGGGAGAGGAGAGAGCAGGTGAAGGGCAGGGAAGCTCCTCTGCTGCTGAGGCCGCTGGGACAGAAGGGACTTCAGGGGAAAAAGTGAGTTCTGCTCTTATTCCTTTTTATTACTGAGTTCTGTTTGGAGGGCATGGGAAGTTTTATGGTTTAAGTGTCCTAAGTGTGGAAAACAGCAGGAGAAACTGTGTTTATCCTGCCCTGCCTTTGGCAAGGGAATGAGCTGCAGCCAGCCTGGTGCACACCCACCCATGGGAGCCCCTGGCAGTGCAGCATCCCCAGGGAGCAGATCCTGCTCCATCCCAGATCCTGCTGCACCCCAAATCCTGCTGCACCCCAAATCCTGCTTGTCTGGCTGAGCTGCTGGGTAGTCCATATTCCCTCCCCAGCACACTCACTTGCCCTCAGCTCCAGAAATACTTTGATACTGATAAAATTTGAGAGGTGATCTGAAAAAGGCTCTGGCTTTTGGGGAGCAGGAGGCAGTGAATTTGGGGTGCTACACCCCATGTGCTGGGGTGGAAACAGGACAGGGACCCCCAGTGCTTCCTTCCAGAGCTGCTCCTCCTTCCCTTGCCAAGCTCCCAGGCACGGCAGCAGGAGCATTGCTGTGTTCTGAAGTGCTCCTAGGCCAGATTTCAGTGCTCAAAAATGAGCTGTCAGCAGAGATGCAGCAGCAGACAGAGATAATGATGGAAATTGCCAAATAACTCTCCCTCTTGATTACTTATTTTGGACCAACTCAGACCCATTCTTTTTATGCTTATGTTGAGAATTAAAGCTCTTTTTGTGAAGCAGCAGTGTCAAGGACAGCCTCGAGCATCTCGGGGAGTGTCTGATGTTCAGCTGAGCCGTGTCAAGTTGCAAAGACCCCCTGTGCTAATTGCAGACCCCCTGTGCTAATTGCACACACCCTGAACCAGTCCTCTGCCTGTCCCCTGGCTGCTGCAGGGACTGCTTGGGCACATTTCTGGAGCTGTGTTCAGAGGTGGTTGGTTACGGCTTTACCCCTCGTTTTCCCCTGGATCTGGGGTTTTTGGGCAGCTGCTCTGTGGCCATTGAGGGGGTGGGTGCAGCAGACTCTGGAGCAGCTCCCAGCCCCTCTGAGCCTGAGCTTCCAGGGACAGTTCACTGGCCTCAGCTCACATGCTGCGAGCAGCAGCTGAATTCCTGGAGCCACAGCTCAGGCTGGAGCCCCCTGGGAGCCCTGAAATGACCTGGGCACTTCTGCCTGGCTCCCAGGGCAGCGGGAGTGGAGCCTTGCAGGAGGTTTTGGGGAGTTCTGCCACAGCCTCTCAGTGGAGGGGGCTTGGCTGAGGATTTTCAGAGCTGCTGTGTCAGACCCTGCTCACTCGCTGCGTGTTTCCTTCACTGTGGGCATTTGACGCTTCCTGAGGTTGCAGATGGAACTTTGCTAACTAAAAGCCACTGGTAGAAGTTCATGCTTTGCATTTGTGGGGAGGTGGGAAGAGACGTGGACAGGTTTTGTTGCAGAAGTGAAGAATGAGGGAGCAGCTGTGTGAAGGGGAGGGTTGCTGGTTTGCTTTGTGCAGTGTTTGTGCCATTTCCGTGGCTGCTGCGGTCTCTCCTGGTTTGGAGTGGTGATTGTCCTGTGTTGGGGGTGAGATCTGCCCAGCGCCCCTGAGGAGCTCTGAGCTGGGCAGCACTGCTGGTAAGGGCTGTTCATGCAGTGTTTTCTCATGCTGGGGAAGGCTTTGGTTCCCAAACTGATTGCACAGCTTGTGCTGCTGCTGGCTGGCTGCACTGCCACTGGAGAGCCCCAGGGGGACAGACGGGCACCCAAAATCCCGAGGATTGTCACACCAGTGTCAGCTAGCAGCAACTGCTATAGGAGCAGAATTATCCAGGGACTCCTCTTGATGACAGTGCACATCTAATAAATCTGAGCTGAGCCCACCATAATGATGGACTCCATTAATTTAATATGATATTGCTGCAGGGCCTTTCCATGCATTGTCTGAAAAGATTAATATTTTCTAACGGAAGCACTTTGGCAAATCAAGGCACCATTTCCCATCCTTCCACTCCAGCCCTGTGTTTGGGCTCTGCCATTTGCTTTTTCCATGGTGCCTCTGGGTTCGTCATTCCACATCCATCAGCACGGCAGGAGCTGCCCACGCTCTGCACAGGTGCTCCAGGAATGTCTCCTCTGCTCTGGAGGGCACTGTCTCACTGCTTTGCAGCCTGCCAGCACAAAAATAAAATGTGAGATCACGCTGGGGGACGAGGCCTCTAGGTCTCCCTGACTTTTGTCCTATTTTAGTTCAATAATTTTAATATCCTGGTTTAAATTGCCTTTAATTTTGGACTGATGAACCAGGTTATGCTTTGATAAAATAACCAGTCCTATGTTCTTCCAGGTTTTATTAAAAAATAGCAGCCAATAAATATAAAACGGAGCAGGAACATTACTGAAGTTACCCAGTGCAGCTCCACCGAGCTACCGGAGGGGAATGCTGCATCCATCAGGGGCTGCTGTTAAACTGAACCCATAAATCAGCAGATCCAAATTGACCATTCACCAAATTAGACCAGCAGGCAATCGAATTCACTGATGGGGTGATGCTAAGAATTGCTCTGGGTTGCTTTCCCTGGAAAACCACAGGGAGAAGCCAAGAGCAGGACTTTGTCCAGGACAGCTCAGCTGGGGAGGTTAATCAAACTCGGGACAGCAGCTCTGTGCGGACAGAGGCAGAAATTTGGTTTGCAGGTGTGTTTTCCTTGGAATTACCAGCAGCTGCAGCAATTGCCTGGCCTGCGTGGGGCTTGTTCAGCCCCAGCCCTGCCCTGGGCACGCTGAGCGAGCTGCAGGCTTCCACACAGATTTAAATATACAAACCACCCAGTTTCCCCAGCTGCTGGGGGGTGAGGGAGCGCGTTCCCAGGCTGTGTCCAGGGTCCTGTGTCCAGGGTCCTGTGTCCAGGGTCCTGTGTCCAGGGTCCTGTGTCCAGGGTCCTGTGTCCTGTGTCCAGGGTCCAGGGTCCTGTGTCCAGGGTCCTGTGTCCAGGGTCCTGTGTCCAGGGTCCTGTCGGAGGGGCAGAGCCCATCTGGGCTGGCCCTGGGGAAGAGCCCTTGGGGAGCTCAGGGAGGGGTGAGGCTGCTGCCAGCCGTGTCTGTGGGAGGCAGATCCTGCCTGCGGATCCCTCCGTGGCACAGGCAGTGGGAAAGGAGCTCCGCATCCCAAAGCCCGCTCGGGCACGGGGAGCGCCGCTCCTCCGGGGATGCTCCGAGAGCGGCGCACGGAGGGGAGCCCAGCCGGGACCCTTGGTGGCAGCTCCTGCTGAGGTGATGGGCACCACAACCTGCGTGTGCAGGGAAGTGTTCGCACACCTCGTCACCGGCCCCGGCTCAGCGCGGAGGGCAAGGTCGGGATGCGGGGCAGGTCCTGGCAGCTGCAGCGGCAACGATCCCGCTCTCCGGGCACGG